CACTTAGTATTGCAGAAGACGCATGGAAGAGAAATGTTTATACCTAGAATTATGAGTGTTGGCAGAATTTCATGTATTTAGTTTGTATTTAGTCCCCATTTCTAATATATTTAGATGTAAATTGTGAGAAGAAAACTGGCACTAGATTAAATCAAGGCTTCAATTGTGGGGACCACACAAACTTTTACATGTTATTTAACTCATCTGGTCCTCAATTTTCTGAGAGGGTGGAAGAGTGCACTTATGACATTCTCTAAAACTCTAATTTTTATATTCTAAACTGTTTGGTGGACATTATCCTTTGTTTGAAAAATTATTTTCTGGTCTGAATCTAGTAATATAATTTGAGAACTTTATATATAGTCTTTTTAACTGTTTTAAGCTTCTTTGGTATTATATTCTCCATTAAAATAGCATTTGCAGTGCAAAATATCGTTCACAAAGTAGTTAAACTTCCTGTGATGCTTTAGCAGAAAAGGTTTTGCTTAATGAAGAAATAAAGAAAACAATGCATTTTAGTGCTATGTCAGTGAGAATTATAAGTGGCTGAATACAAAATCAGTTTCCACATATTCACCTCAAGCTGTGAGTGCAAAAAGTCACATTATTTAGTTAAAATTTTTCACTGCAATAAGACTCCATGGCAAAGTACAACAGGCTACTCATTTATTCAAAAGAAATATATACCAAGAGATTGTGAATTCTCAAGTCAGTAAGTGCAATTTTAGCATACTTACCTTGTAATATTAAATAAAATATAATTGAAAAATTTAAGTAACATGTTCTGCCTTCAGTAATTTCTATGGATAAGATTAAATGCATTTACACATCAATTTAAGTTTTTACTAAAATTATGCACTATATGACAATCCATTCTTTTCATTATTAACATTCACTTAGAGTTTACTTGACTCTGTCAATTTGAAGTGCTGATGATAACAAATGATGCTGCACTCTTTGTGTAAGAAGATTTACTTTACATATGATGATGATGAATATGTGTTCTGCTAAGTAGGATTAAATCAGTTTACAATTGAGAAAGTTCTTTCTAATATTTTTGTGGACTCTCAGTAAACTTCAGACAATGAGTAAGATGAAATGTATAGGGCACATTGATAAATGACAGGTTCTTTCTTAAATAACACCATGAATTCAATTCTTACAGGACCATGTGTAGTTCTGAATCTCCCTGCTTATCCCCCTTTCCCCTCAACCTATTGGATACTAATTCTGGATATAGATGTACCTTTCCTTCTCACAATGCTTATGCAGATACCATATTTATAGGCTTACTGAATGATTTATCCACTATCGTGTTGAATCCTCAAGTATTGCTTTTGATCAAGAAGCAACTGAAAAAAACTATATTGTTTTACTTTGTTTACAATAAAATATACACATTTTAAAAGTTCAATATAATGAGTTTAGACAAATGCATACACCCTTATAACTATGACTACAGTTAACATATGGATAAGTACCATCACTCCCAAAAGAGTCGATAATGTCCTTTCTTAATCCCTACCCTACCTGTCTAGCTCCAGGAAAACACTGCTCTACTTTCTACAAATATGTATTAAATTTGCCTTTCCTGGATTTTCATATACATGGAAGCATACAGCATGTAATCTTTTGCTTCCTTTTTTTTAATCTATTCATAATGTAGTTCTTGAGATACATTCATATTGCTAAATGTGCCCGTAGTTCATTACTTTATATTGCTGAGTAGGATTCCATTCCATTTTATTCCATTCCACAATTTGTTTATTCATTCTCTAATTGCCAGAAATATAAGTTGTTTCCAGTTACTGAGTCTTACAAAAACAATTGCAATAAACATTTTTGTGCATTTTGTAGATAGTATGTTTTTATTCCTCTTGAGCAATGCATAAATTTGGCATTGCTATGTCAAAGGTAAGAGCATGTTTGATTTTGCAAGAAACTGCCAAAACTTTTTCGTGAATAATGGTACCATTTTTACACTTCCACATACAGGATATGAGAGGGCTAGTTGTTCCGAATACTCACCAACAGGTGTTTTCCTCAGTATGTTTCATATTAGCTGTTCTAGTAGGTGTTAAATCATATTTCATTTTTAATTCACATTTTCCTAATGATGTTGAGCTTATTTTCATGTGCTTATTGGCCATGCATACATATTCTTTTGTGAAAGTGTCTATTTAAATCTTTTGCCTATTTAAGAAACTGGATTGTTAGTTTTCAGTTGTAAGAGTTCTGTATATATTTTGGATAGAGGTTTCTGACAGGTATATACATTGCAAGTATTTATTTTCCAATCTATGGGATTCCCCCTTATTTTAGTAATGTTGTCTTTTGGACAACAAAAGTTTTAATTTTTATGTTCCTAATTTGATCAATTTGTATGGATTTTGCTTTGTGTCTATCAAACAAATTTTACCTACTCCAAAGATGCAAAGACATTTTACATTTTCTTATATAACTTTAGAAGCTTTTATGTTTAGATCTATCATCTACCTTCATTTACTTTTTGTTTATAGTAACAGGTAAGCATAGAATTTCATTTTTATGTGAATATCTAGTTGTCCTAGTAATTTTTTATTGAAATTGCTGTCCTTTCCCCATCAAATTACTTTGGTACCTCTGTCAAAAATTAATTTACCATATAAACATGAAGCTATTTCTAAATTATCTTTTAAAATTTATCTATGTGTCTTTTTGTCAAAGACGCACTATTTTTATTCCTTTAGTTTTATAGCAAACCTTGAAATACAAATTTGTTCTTTTTAAAAATGGTTTCGATATTTTAGATTTTTTTTGCACATCCATGTATGTTTTAGAATCAAGTATTCAATTTTTTCAAAATAATCTTTTGTGATTTTGATTGGAACATTGTTAGAAACAACTAGAAAGCAAAATAAGTGAGATAACATGCTCACTGTTATGGGATCCTTGATCTTACCATGGATCCAACATGCAGAAGCAACTGGACTGATAGAATAGTGACAAAACTGCGTGATGACAAAGCCTTCATACCTTGTATTGTGACATACAAATTTTACTTTGTGTCTTTAAAAAAATCTGAACACTTTGTCCCATGGCCAGGAGAAGATATGTGCCCTGGAAATAAGGGTGGAAGTGGAAGTGACTTGTATAACTTGTGATTCTTATCTATGCATCTTTCAACTCAGTTGGTTGTGAATAGTAGTTTTCAAGGGAGTTGTGCTTTTACTGAGGGACACAACTATCACCAAATCAAATTGGAAATTGAGCTTACATCAGGCCACGTGAAGTACCTTCTGATCCTGAACCAATAGACAAAGAAGAGACTACTGTACTATCTCGGATAATGGATCCCAACCATTAAGGGGAATTATGATTTCTGCTCCACAGCAGGAACAAGGAAAAGTATACATCTAGAACCCAAAGGATGCTTTCAGGCACCCCTAATTGCTCGCTCAGACCTTTGTGAATGAAAATCTTGTTCACCCAACAAGTGAAGAACCATTAATAGTAGCATTCGTACTGAGGGGAAAAAATAGAATGAGTCATAGCAGACAAAAAAGCCATTTACAAGGTATTTATGGCATTGGGTAATGGCACTGCGTATTTTCCATTACCCAAGAACTGCAGTAGCTGAATATATCTATCATCTCTTATCAATTCTTCTATCTAGACACACACACACACACACACACACACACACACACACACACACAATCTTCTTGCTTTCCCTCTCCCCCTCCATTAATAGTTTATACAATGTGTTATACTGATCTTTAAGTTACATATTGTGTCTGAAAAAGTAAAGAAATAAGCATCACTCAAAAATGGGTGGGGTTATTTATGGGAATTTTTTTCATTTCCATTTTTGTGGATCTCTATTTGCGTGATGAATAGTTGCACCATGTTGTTTTGGCAATTTAGATATGCACATAAGAGTGTATAAAGAAGTCAAGAAGCTAAAGCATGGACCAGACTAGACCAGATTGATGCTTGGTATCATCCCTACCTTTCTAAGCTTTTCTGTTGCCCCCAGGATTTCTATAAATGTTACATTTCTGGACAGCTCATAACTGAGTCTTTTATTACATTTCTAAGATTCTCTTAAAGAAATGTCCCCTCGTGAGAGTCAGTGGCCCAACAGTTGAAAGGCAGAAAATAAGCCATTACCTGTTGCAGTTGTTGTCAGGGGATTGGGCAAAGGCAACTAGTAAGCCAGTTTTCTTTCTGAGACGCCCAACATCTGCAGGAACCTGGGATCACTTATGGTGGCATCTTTCTGATTTCTGTATTCACTGATTCCCCAAAGGCTGTCAGTGGCCTCAATGAATTTTGTTTTTAACCTTTCCAACTGTTCTCTAAGTCTTGTATTCATATCTTTGTATGGAGAGATGACAGAAATGGGGTGTCATATGGGCTTTTGAGGTCCTGATACTGTTCAATTTTTTAATCTTGATGCTGCAAGATAAGTGTGTTCACAGTAAGAAAATCCATTGAGCTGTACAATTACAATATGTATACTGTATGGATATATATTATACTTCAATTAAAGTTATTAACACAATTTCTGCTCAAAAGACAGAATAACTTCTATCATTCTAGCTGATATCTGACTGATACACAAATATAAATCAATACATGTGAACTATATTATTGCTTCAGATTTCTTCCATGAGCCTTTCTACATAAATTTAGTCACCTATATTCTGTGAAGTATGACAAGCTTTGCTTTTTCTGTGGAAGTCACCTGAAGATATACACTTTCTCTTTAGCACTTTTGTGGGAATATTTACCATTTCTGACTTTTTAACCTTTATTCTCATGTTAGTATTCATTACACAGTCCCCAAAATCTTACTGTCTCCAGCATGAGCTGATAGTAATGTTGAGATCCTCATCCTGATTTTCCTGGTGGAGGTAGATATTCAATATATCTCATACACTGTGAAATAGGTTACAACACCCTCACTGAGAAGATAAGGGATATGATAATATTAAAGGAAGACATAAAATTAATGTTCATCTGCACATAAAGTAAACTTTATTCAAGGTTCAGGATATTCTTCATAATGTCTTCATTATTTGTGCAAAGTTCTGCAAGTCTACAAAGAGTGGTCCCATGACCCAACCTTTCTTATGAGATAGTTAACATATAAGTCAGAAGTTTTATCCTTGCCTCTTCATTCTCTAAGGTTTTTGAACCAGTGGAGCCATCCTGGCTTATTCATTGATTGTGCAGCATTGCCATGAAGCCGAAAGGTCAGTCAGTTCCTGTTCACTAATATTTGAAGTTTATTACTCTTTGGAAATCCATGTTTAGAAAGGCATTCTCTTCCATTATAAGCCGCCTTTATCTGTACTGTATACATCACCTAGCTCATAAATCTTCTCTTCCATAGTCTTGTTCAGCTTGAGAGGAAATATTTCTGCAATAATCAGTGATCAATAATAAGTGATCTAATCTGTAACTTAAACTCAGAAAACTCATTCTTGGCTGGGTTCTGTGGTTCATGCCTGTAATCCCAACACTTTGCAAAGCCTAGGTGGGTGGATCACTGGAGCCAAGGAGTTCAAAACCAGCCTGGGCAACATAGTGAGACCCTGTATCTACCAAAAATACAGACATTAGCCAGGCATTGTGGTGCATGCCTGTGGTCCCAGCTACTCAGAAGGCTGAGGTTGGCAGATCATTTGAGCTCAGGAGGCGGAGGTTGCAGTGAGCCAAGATCATGTCACGGCACTCCAGCCTGGGTGACAAAGTGAGACTGTCAAAAAAAAAAAAAAAAAAAAAAAAGAAAGAGAGAGAAAGGAAGAAAGAAAAGAGAAAACTTTCCTTACAATAATTACAATCATTTAAAAAAAAAATTTCCCTTTTCCCTGTTTCTTATTGAAAAACAGTTATGTGAATCAATAATCAGTTAAATCACCTTTTATCTTTATACTTTTTAATTTAATTTAATTTAATTTAATTTAATTTAATTTTTGAGACAGATACTTGCTCTGTCACCCAGGATGGAGGGCAGTGGCACGATCTCAGCTCACCACAACCTTCGTCTCCCAGGTTCAAGCAATTCTCCTGCCTCAGCCTCCCGAGTAGCTGGGATTATGGCGCTTGCCACCACGCCCAGCTAATTTTCGTATTTTTAGTAGGGTCGGGGTTTTGCCATGTTGGCCAGGCTGGTCTCGAACTCCTGACCTCAGGTGATCCACCCACTTCGGCCTCCCAAACTGCTGGGATTACAGGCGTGAGCCACCGTGCCCAGCCACAACTGTATTTTTAAAAGTCGGCTATCATTTCCATTTTGACTAAACCTTTTGTTCTTCCTGCCTGGAGCCATTGGTGAAAGATTTTATCCTTAAATTTTTGCCATATTTCCTACAGGAAAGAAAAAATGTTTAGTTAAAGCCGGACTATCAAGGTTCACAGCCTGTCTCGGCCACTTAATTGGTTATATTTGTTAGTTAATATATTTAAGCCAAACTTTTAATATTACATTCTTAGCATTCTGACAGAGTTTCATTTTCTGGCTTAGAACAGTCACTGCTTTAGACCTTTTTGCTTTCCATATTGGTCAGTTTCTCTTAGGGACTATTTCTTACTGATAGAGACTTATCACTTTGAAAGAGTTCATTGGATGTCCAGCATCAAATACAGAACAACAAAATCATCCTAAAATGGATAGGCTACATGGCCTGCTAGTTTCAGTTACGAGCTAAGAGACCTGTCCTGCTACAGGCCTCAGAGTGTACATAATTCAAATGCATAATTCAAGAAAATGACCTATTCATACATGTTACCTTCAGACTTATCATTTCGTTGTCATGAACATAGAGGTTCAATTCATTTCTGTAAGTCTACCATAATCCTAGATTTTAAGCTAGATCTTATTTTTAATTTTTCTAAAAGGAATGTAAATTCATAAACATATTCATGTAATTTTTCAAATATTACAGAAAGCTAAAAAAGGAAGAATAAAAGAAAATAACTTCTTCCAGAAGTTTTTATACATAATGTATTGTAATATTATATATGTATGATGCATGTAGGTGTGTGTATATATATATAGAAACATGTATGTGTGTGTGTATATATATATAAACTATTGAAAGCCTATGAGAAAATGGGAAGAATAAACTGCTGAAATCATAGCTTCTTGAGAAAATACACAGGCACTAAAGAAAGTTGTAAGTGTTCATTTGGGTGAGCCTCTAAAGAAAGAAATAATTTACTGAAATAAATTTAGAGTATGTCATCATATCTATTTAAGGAAGTATTTAATATAGGTGAAATTATTACAATCTCAGAAGAACCTGTGTTTTCCTTTCTCTTCTGGGGCCAAGTGTCTGGACAAGCGAGCCACCTTTATCCTCAAATAAGATGATTTGCAACATTCATTTAAATTTAAATATAACATTTCCTTCCTTGAAGTAGATTCAAAAGAAAGGACTCAGGGATTTTTAAGCTAGATGAATGACTTTGTCTGGCTTTGTGTCTGACTAACTCAAATCTAGATTATATGCCCCATCCCAGGGGCTGTTGTCAATTTCAAAGATAAAAAATCTGTTTGGAGGATAAAAACAATTAATGCATAGCCTTCATTCCAAATCTACTTATTTGCTAGATTTAATTATTATTAATTTTTATGAAGAACAGGTGAAATGTAATTTTTCATATTTTGTTCCTCTTATGCATATTAGTCTCCTATATAAGGGTCCTAGGACGCCATTAGGAGCTTCTGATTGGATCACTAAAGTACAACATTTTGAAAATAAAAGACTGGTCACTGCTCCAAAATGGCATAGCTCCCACACCTTTTATAGGTGGAAAGCCTGGACAAAAATGCATATTTCCTTTTCTAAACTCCATATTACATACACAAAAACTTAATCAACACAAAAAATATCAAATGCTTTCTTTAACTTCTATGTACAATAAGGCATCTAGAAAAGGACATGAAAAATTGCTGAAGAAAGAAAAACCTAGATTATTGATATGATATAGTGTATACAAAATATACATGAGTAAAAAGACTCAGTGTTGAGTATGAATCCCTGGATCTGGATCTTGGGTGAACAGTGGTAAAGGCAAATTTGAGACATTAAATAGGACATAAACTTAAAAGGCTGGTGGATGTGTCAACCATGACTGGAATATGACTGAGTACAAAGAAGGAGACTAAGAGTGGGTATCTCTTGGGACTTGGTTTAGGACAATGAGCAGAGAGAATGGGGAAATGAGTAAGTGTAAAGTGTATCAGGATAGAACTCACTCATTTTGGGTGATGACTACACAGAACTGTCAAGTATGGATTTTGAAAAATAGCTCTCAAATAAATAAAATCTAGTATTGTAAATTCAATAGAATGATCGGTTTAAGGGCTAGTGAACCATAGTTGTCTATTTCATCTATTAATTTACTCATCTCTTAATTAATTTTGATAATAATATATGTTTAATGCCATAACTTCTATGTATGAATCCTGAAAATACAGAGGAAAAAACCCAATCACATATGAGCTTACAGACAAAAACCATTAGAAATATGCCACTATGTAATTACCAATTATTGTATGTAATAGAAAAGAAAATAATTGTATGCTATGAGATGCTATAGTAGGATATAGAAATTTAGAGTAAGGTACCAGGGAGGGCTTCTTGGAGGAAGGGTCATTGAAACTGAGATTTAGGGATGTAATTGTCCATGAAATGTTTTGGGAGAAGAGTTTTACAGGTAAAGAGAATTACAGGTCCAAAGTCACTGAGTCAGGAAAAGGCTTGCAAGCTTTTCAGAAACAAGAGAAGTTCAGTGAGGCATTTGTATTGTGAGTAACAGTCAGGTAGATCAACCAGGAAGAACCTTATAGATTATCTTAAAAATGGTACATTTTATCCTGTATGCAAGTAAAAATCATGTGTAGTTTTAGAAATGAAAGTGCCATGATCTGATTTATGTTTTATTGATTTGCTCTGGCTGCTCTAAGCTGAATAGATGGATATTAGAGGTCAAGAGGGGAAATGCAGTAGCAGATGTCTAGAGTGATGTTGGCAAGGATGAGGATAGTGTCAATGGGAAACTGAGGTAAATAGACAGATTCCATGGCATGTCAGTCTGCTAAAAGCGTTAGAAAAGCCTTCAGACCCATGGGGCCAGGAATGAGATGGGCCTGCCTGGCAGGTTGGGCAGCAACAGCTATAGTGACTGGCCAGAAGACATAGTTAATTTTACATCATGTTGAGGTCTAAGAAATAATGGAAATACTGGCTGTCTACATTGCCAACACCTAATCTATGCCAGAAGAACAGCTGGGGTCTGTCTAGCCTTAACTCTATGAATTCTAACTAAATACTTGAAATCATACTATTAGTAATCTAGTTTAATCATTGATCACTGGTAAATTTGAATGCTGACAGCCAGTCTGGGAACCTATCCACATTTATAAAGTTGTTTCTTTGGAGGAAAGAGCATGGCACATTGAAAGAAACAGGGCCCATATAAGGTAGAAAGGTGTCGAGAAGAATCCACTGTACAGTTAGAGAAATAGAAGATCCAAATGGAGCTGTTCTATCACAGATGAATGTGAATTGCAAACAAACGACTTAAACATTTTACAAAAACATTTTAAATTAAAAACATTTTTGGCGATGTCATTTAAGATGTATTTCTAATTTTAAAACAGAAGAAACTCTTGCAAATATCAGATAGAAAAAATCTGATATAATTAAAGTTTGAGGGAAGAATTTAAAACAGGGTTAGAGTGAGTATTAGGGATAAGACAGGAGACCACCTTGAACAGATATCAATTCCATAGTTAACAGTTGAAAATCTAGATTATTCTTGTTAAAATCAAGACAACATAAGAATGCAAGCTATCTCAGGAAAATTAGCATTGCTCTATAAATATTAGTTACTTTAATATAATAAAAAAATGATATAAATATACAAAAGTAGAAAAGTTGGTACTTTTCCTAATTATATATCTCTATGTCGGAAAATTCAAAAGAATTGCCTAAAAGATTATGAAAACAAAAAAGGATTCAGTAAAGTGGCTGGTTAAAAATTAATACAGTTTTAAAAAATATAGCAAAGACAAATATAAAATATATTATTTATTCATTGAGCCAGACATCCACAATGTCAAAGTAACTTAAAGATGTATTTTTATTTGCACATATAAAATGTCCACATTATATCGTTTCCTAAAAACTCAAGTATATTTAATATGATATTTTGAAAACAAATCAAGCATAATTCAAAGAAGTTTTATGTGTCCTCAAATGTCTGGTAGACCCCATAATGAATGTAATGAAGAGTTGTGTGAGGAGTTATTATGTCTTATAAAATTATCCATTATTTTCCCACAGCTATATGTCCCACTTATAAAAAAAAAAGCTTTAAAAATCAAACTACTACTTAATGTTCTTCTCAGGGCATTATATTTTTGATAAAAGAATGTTATACATTTTAATTACATTTTAAACAAATTTCAGATTTTCTAATACAATGTAAAAAAATACCACTTGCCTGTGTAAAAAGGGAAATGTGAGTTTTGCTTCTTGAATTTTCCACCATATCTACTTTAAGAATTCAGATCCAATTGCATTTTTTCAAACTTCTAAGAAAAAAGTTATTTTTCTAATTATTGATATAATATTTATAGTCTTTACAAAACAACGTTTTAAATATTTTTAAAAATTACTGGAGATGTTCAGCTATTCTATGGAAAAATGTGAAATGATATAGACACAGAAGGAGAAATAGTTTGCTGCCTCTATAGGTCTTCCCATTTCTACAACAGACAATATAATATCGTTTGCCCAAAATTTGTTACATTATTTTTTAATTTGTATATGGATAAAAGACTGAAATTGCTTCAGATAAATGAGTCTATGTCATAGTGATCATATAAAAATATCTGCAAGCTTTAGAACTATCAAAACATTTGCAAGTCTATGGTCACCAAAAGGATTTTGATTGGTAGATAATATATACCTTCAACTAAATTACCTCACTTAGCTGAACATAATGCAATGATAGTAATTTTCATTGCCTCTCACTTTGCCTTTTATTTCTTTTCTAACTTGCATTGCACTAACTCTTAGTTCAACTGTTGTAGCTTCAGAATCAGTGAAAGAATAAAAACTACGCATTTCTATGAAATGGGGGCATAAACTTCAATTCAGAATTCCATATTATTTAAATAAAGAAATAATTCTAAAAAACTGTTTAGCTATTGTCAGTAGATAAAATGTAATCCAATCTGTCTTTTTGATCATTAGATAAGAGGTGTTTTTCATAATATTGGTTCTTCAACAAGACTCCCAAACTATCTTTAGACACATTTATAAATTATTGAATCCATATAAATTAAGAGACTGGTAAAGGAGAAGAATAAAAATATACTGTTCCCTGGTTGGTGTAGAGGAAAAAAGAGAGCAGAATTAGACAAGGTTTTTGAATAATGGTCATACTCCTCAAATCTAATAATACATATTGTTAACACTTATCTTGATCTGTAGAAAACAAAACTTTAATTCAGGTTAATATTTATTAGTCATAAATAAACTAATAAATATAATAGGACCCTCCTATCACATTCTACTGCTGTGATCTTCAGCAAACAATTTTATCTCTCTCAATTTCAGTTCCTTCACTTTGTAAAAATATGGATAATGGCATTTCTCTTATAGGGCACGGGATGATTAAACATGATCAAGCACGTGAAAACTTTAACCAAGCAACTCTCAGACTAAAGATGGAGGAAAATGCAATACATGAAGTTTCCTTGCTCACTCACGAGGGTATTGCATGATGGAGGACTTAACACAATTTTACATTCCCAGAAGAAAATGTGTACCCAATGAAGAAAATGTGAATAGGTATATTTCTGGAGGGAAAGGGAATGAATTAGACCTTCGTGTTCAGACAAAATCTTTTACATGGTGTTTATAGAAGTAGGTAGCTATTAGATTGATCGTTTGGCAGATAGGTCGGAAACAAGCTTGCAAAACAAAGAATAAAGGTTGTTTTTTTTGTTGTTTTTTTTTTTAATCACTTATGTCAAATATCATTTGGCCCTACAAATTGCACCTAAAACCAAAAACACAGTGGCTGCCTAAGTCTTCAGTGTCTTTCTGTTTTCTCTCAATCTTTCATGCCTAACCATGCATATTTTTAAAATTTGTATATATGCATGAGGTCCAAGTGCAATTTTGCTACATTGATATATTTTGTTGTGGTGATGTTAGGGCCTTCAGTGCATCCATCACTGGAGCAGCATACATTGTACCCACCAGGTAACTTCCCGTCATGCAAACCCCACCCCTGTTTTGAAGCTGAATTGTTATTATCGAACTTGAAATTCTTAGGGCCTTTCTTAAATGAAAAGATAAACAGATCAACAGATTAAAATTTAAAACTGCATTTTGATATGGTCAGAACTGCAGAGGAAATTTAATTTTTCATCTTTGACAGATAGTCAAGAAAGAATACAATCAGTAATGATATGAAAAAGCAGAATTTTTTCTCGAAAGACATAGGGAAAGAGAGGTAAAGGATGCTCTAAAATTGAGGCAGCCAAAAAGGAATGAGAGAAGAGACTTGCAGGAGGGGACAGTTAAGGACAGTGAAACAAGAAAGAACACCAGAAAAACAAAAGTCTGTCTGACATGGCTGCCTGTAGCCTGAGCAGGGGACAGGGAGGGTTAAGGTTAGGACAGAGCAAAAGGCACAGAAGAACGCATCAGGTGACTCTTGGAATTACCCTGGCCCCGGTGAAACCGAAACCCGAAGCCAAGTGATAGAGCAGGTATATTTAAGGTAGTCCAGGGAGCTTAAAAAAATAGAGAAGGAATTGGATATCAGAAAACATTTTGTGATGCTGTAATGAGATCTCTGCCTTAGTGGATACATGCCCTAAGGGATACAATGCAAAGTCCTGTTATCTGAAACATGTTGAATTAGAAAGGAAAATCTACCCGAATCCCCTGTGAGGAAACCCTTATAAGATCATATTATTTATATTATGGTTACAATTTTTGCAAATTCTATGTTTTGTTTTATGACTCAGTAATCCACTAAACAGAGGTACTTGAAATTAGTCAGTTAGAGGTAAGGTATTATTTGTCTGCATATAATTGTGGTGTTTGTTTGTTTGTTTTAATCTGTAAGACCTGATGATTCCACAGTTTCTTTGTCTAAATCTAGCCAGCTGTGGATTCAGAAATCCCTCAGATAACTGGACCATACGGTTGGAGCCTTTACATAGCTTGCATAAAGCACCTGAGTAATTGGCTCTTTTACATCAGACAACTTAAGGAAAAGGAGTAAAAACAGGAAATAGATACCCTTGGCTGCCTCCCATAGTTGACTAGATTTTTGCTGCTGTCTGCAAAGCATGCTGTTAGTTTGTGTTCCTTATGATACTAAATCAGAAAATGTTTGCCACTCACCATGAAACATTTTATCTAGGAATGAGGATTTGTGCAGTTTTGCATTCACAGAAAGAAACATTGTTTGCAAATAGCCTAATATTTTTCAAGAGGGGAAAGAAATAGAACAAAGCACCTAAGCAGCACTCGATTTTTCTTAGCAAACTGAAGCTATCATGTTTTATTTTGATAAATGATGCTAATGAGGCTTGAGGACTTTTACAGGTATATAATTCCTCATTTCACTACACGATTGTTTCTATTTTCTGTTGTAGCACCCGATGCTTGTGAACACAGTTTGTTAGCCTACTTTCCCTCATCATCATTTTTGGCGTCATATATTTAGAAATTGAATAATCAAAGGTAAAACTACTCCCAAATTATCCTTTATCCCATAGTGCCTCTCATCCTTAATTTTACTGTTGCAGAGAGTTAGTGAAGCCAGCGAATTTGTTTTTCCCTAGACAGCCAAAACAGATGTGAACTAGTTCCTTTTATATTAGATTCCATGTTTTTGGGGTGGATCTCCTACACTGGCTTACTGGAAGAAATGGAAGATTTGAAAAAAACATATAAAAAGTAATTATATCCTATCAGTGCTGTTTGGCCATGAGGAATGTTACTTCTTGAAACTGCACAATTTACCAGGTTTTGACAGAGACATTTTACAAGGTCCTATTAGTAAATCAATCTGCAGAGGTGGAATACATAACATCTGGGAGTACCATCAACATAGTCTTGACCTTAAAAGTTAGTTGCTTTACAGGAAGTCACGGCTTGCCCCAATCTTATCCTCTTCCTCTTGAAGAGTCAGGGACTGGATCAGTAAAGATTAGATTTAACTAACTCTCCATAGTCAGAGATTTTTCCAAAAAGTAAGCAAAAGCATAGACTTAGAGTGAGGTAGGGGTTCCTTTTCCTTTTGTGTTTGCACCTCTTGGTCCAATGGAAAATGACCTTCACAATACTCACAAGTTATGGCTACTCATTAGGGCCACAACTAACCTCTTAAATATGGATCTTTATGTTATTTATGAGGGACTATAGAAATATCTCCACTAATTTTAAAAATTCAAATAGTTAGCATCATTGAAATACTGAAAATCACCCATATTTTCTTTCCTGCCCTCTGTCACCAAAGAAAAATATTTGGAATATATCCTTTCAGAAATGTTTTAAGGCATACATCAACATTCTGCTATAAATAGTACCATAATGGCCATCTTTTAAGCCACATTTAGGGTAATAATCTACTCAGCCTCTCCTTGATCTTCTAATAGATTTATTTTATGACTGTCAAATTTTCTCATTCCAAATAGAAATAAGATTCGCTGTCAACCAATATACAGCCTATGTAGGCTGCTGCCATAAAGTGTAGACTGTTACTTTTCAACCACATTCTAACTTCGATTCTATGCAGCCTCAGGGGTAAGACTGAAAAGTATAGTGATAGAATGTTGTCTCTATCATATTACCTACGCCATGGCTTATTTTATCTGTATAAGATTAGGGACAATTTGATATATAAAGTGAAATTTCTTATTAGATCCTTTAGTAGCAGCATTTTACAGAATCACAGAACAAGAAAGAATGTCGTCAGTCATGTAATACAACCTCCTCCTTTTGCAAATATGAATGCTGAGATGCAGAGAAGTAAAGAGACTTGTCCAAGGTTCATTAGTGACTGGTCTGAGGTCAGCACACGCAGCCCAGGTTATGTCCAATTACATGCTATTGTCTGAGATGAGTTAACTTTTGAAACCAATCTTCAGCTATAGTTTTTTCTGTATTTTTTTTTTGTGTGTGTGTGAACCTGCTTCTTCCTCTTTTATTTCTAAATTAAGACTCCGTAAATTTACTTTACTTCCATAGCAGCTCTTGCCATCATGCGAAAGATCAAGTTCTTCCTACAACAGATCTTGGATTGTTAATGGTAAATCTTTTCTACAAACCCTATGAAATTGCATTTCTACTCTGCTAATTCCCTTGTTGACATACTAGTGTTAGTTCACTCTAATCCTATACTTGTCTCTTATTTTTATAATTCCACCAACTCCCCTTTGCCCCGTTGTCCAAATGGTACATGAAATTAGCTCACAGGTTTTATGAAATTCATTTCTTCACAAATTCAATGACTTTAACTTTCTTCAAAAATCTTTATTATCTAATATTTGCCAAGCAACAAATCTATGTCATTTTAGGAAATGTGATTCTACTTGATATCCATTTTCTTAATGTCTCCATGTGTTTCTAGCTTCAGACACCACATGAAGTGGCATTCTCTATTTAAACAGACTTCAGCACTTAAATGATAATGCTTGGTGTTTTTCATTGTAGAGGTCACAAGAAAGAAAACTTTTAAAGACCTCATGAAAGGTTCCAGAGTATCCTAAGAGGATTTAAAATTATTAAAGCTTTCCTCTCCAACTGTGGAACTAGGTGACATTATTGGGCTGAGGTCACTTAGAATATGGACTCCAGGAAAGAGCTCGGTATACTATTGTTCTACCAAGTAAGACCTTGGCATTTTGTTTCTCAGATTGTTAAAAGATCTACTCTAAGAAGACTGAAAAGTAAAGGCATCTATATTTTATTATTGTCTGTCACAGACCTTTTCTTCCAGACCTGGCTATATTTTTGTACCGTTTGCTAACAAATGATTGAAGCCCAAAGTGTAATAAAGAATGATGGAATGTAAATCTCTGTTTCTCTTATCTCTTGCCTTCAATCATGAATATTTTATCCACATATAATGTCACAATTGATATGCTCAAGGCAGCTGCAGACACCAAACACCTTTCCAGACAATTGTACTAAATTGCAAATAACTTGATAACAGTTGTTTTTGTCCTTAACCATATTAATTTTAATTTCTCAGCTGTGCATCCTGCTTCTCTGTAATTGCTTTTATCAACTTAAATTTTGGCAGTGATTTTGAGTTCTGTCCCTTAATTAATAAAAGTGTTTATTATTGAGTTATTCATCGGCATACACTTCTGATTTTGAACCTTCAAAACTCAACAAGTAATTTCTCTCCCAAGCCCTAACGCAAGTAACACACTGGTTGGTTTCATCTATATTAGATGGATTTGGATAGTCTTGGCTTTCTTTAGGAACAACTCTGTCTTTGTCTGCCTGGCTCCAGCATCAGTTATATCCAACAGATTCAACATGCTCTTAATTAGGCCTATAATGATCTGGAAGATAGGGAACAGAAACATGAACTATGTATCAAAAATCACGATTAAGAAATCTTCAGTGCTACTTTCTTTTCAGTTTATTATTTATTCAAGTAGAACATAAAATCCAGGGAATGAAAGTGTTTACTGGTGTCTTTTCTACTACTAATAAAATCATTTTAGAATCCAGTTTATGAGCCCATATTTATAGCTTTCATTTCCTAGAAAGTATATGTATTTTAACATAAAGTCATATCAGTGAAAACCGAAGAGTAAGAAAAAATGTACCCACAATATGTGTGGATTCTCCAAGGTATAAAACATATTAGAGACTGATGGAGCTCTTGGAAATGTGAGTAAAGGGGAAAGGAGAAGATCAAGAGACCACATATGCATAAAATGAATATGGCTCTAGAAGAGGAGAAACAGAGCAAAATAATACATCTGAGGAAGAAGGGGTGCAATATTGCTGCTCTTTCTGTGAGCTCAATTTCTCTGTAGAAATATAAAGAACATAAGTCCAGAAAATATTTTGCTTCTCATTTTCTCTTTTCTTCCTGTCCTTCTTTTTTTCTTCAAATAGATTACAGACTTGTTTTCAAAGTAATTTTCTCCAAAATCTGTTTGGAATAAGTGTGAGAATCTGAGCATGTGAAACCAGGAGAGATGGAATAGAAATTTATCATTAATGATTTGGAAAGAAACCAAAAAACAAAAGAAAAGAAAAAAGATACAATCCATGCTTATTTATCAATTTGACAACTATTTTATTGAGGTCCTATTTGTGCTAAATGTTGTCCGGTTCCCTGGACATCTTAAGGTACGTATTCCCTTGTCCTTTCCCCCAAGGAATATGTAGTCTAAAAGGAAGACTCATATTATTAAAGTCTATAACAGAGAGATGTATTGATTATGGTGATGGTCAGGAGGAGAGATGAAGTTTTCTTGAATAGATCAGAGAAAATAAATCTCATGAAATACCCGTGGTAGATATTACATGGGAATGGGAGGAAGATGGAAAGGGAAAGGAAATTACAGAATGTATTTCTGTTGATACCTATAATTCTATAAGTTCTTTCTGCAAGAACACCTGCAAAATAGGCAAAGCCATAAACAACTTATAAGATCTTGAGTTTTTCTTGAATGTGGAATCAGAATGGGTTCTGAAGTAAGATGAGACTAAAGAAGTATTCAGGGGCCAAGTAATAAAAAAACCTTGTTCAGCATACCAACAGTTGGTGATTTGAGTAATGGGAATAATTGATCATTTTAAGCAAGCAAGTCAGAATTATGCCTTAGAAAATTCTCTTAGACTGCATTGTGGAGCAAAGAAAATAAGAGTAGATCTTATTGGGAAACATCATATCACTCTTAAGATAGTATAACAATTTCAAAGTGAATAAATAGAGATTTCAACTAGGATACTGCTATGGTTTGGAAATAAATGGACAGAACCAACAAATAATTAGGAGTTAGTATGATAGGAGTTGTTGATTGGTCAACCTGGGTGACCAAAAAAGGTGATGTCACACAGATGATAGAACAGGAGAGGGTACCTTCCATTCCCACACAAAAAGCCATACAGATAGCTACCCACAACCCAAAATGGCCCAGAGAGCATTTGAAGGCCCATTAAAATCTGTAGCAGTACAGTGGAGCAAAAAAAAGAAAAAATTAAGAAAATCTACTTGGAAAAGATTACTGCTGAGACTGTCATATCTGAGATGCCAGAAGATGACTAGGGGCAAAGAAGCAAGGTGGAGGATGTCAGTATCAGCTATGCAGTGGGAACCACCTTGACTTCCAGCAGCCTACTCTACAGAGGACACCAGCATGTTTTGCCACTGAGGTAACTAAAAACCATGCCCACCAAGGAACCCCAGAGAG